TGATATATATATATATATATATATATATATATATATATATATATATATATATATGGGTAATCAATACCAAAAAGATCACTGGATAAGCCAGTACTACTGAGTGAAGATTAAAGAACTACCCTGAGGGTGGACCATCTGGTTACCAGGGTACTACTGTTTCTTTCATCCTCACTGGCAGCTGTACATCAATAGTACATACTTGTGCTAACTGCCATAAAACCATGGATGGAGAGCGTGAAAACGGGTGAAAGGAAAAGGGGAGGGGAAGGAATTAAGGCATAGAAGCCTCATGCCTTTAAGAATAACAACAGATTCAGTTTTTCTCTATTTATCAACGATTATATTTCAGTCGAAATTTTGTTCCCTAAGTAAAGCCAATCTATTCGGGGAAGATGAGAAGCACTGTGGAATCTTCAGCAGCATACATCTCATGAGTCCGCTGGTAGCTAAACACTACGCCGTTCGGCCAAGAGCAGCTGGTCAGCTGTGTGATTAACTCGCACTTAGGAGGAAAATAGCGTTACTCCCCTCTCAATCATGGAATCCACATCATGTGACCACGTGTTGACTGGCACCACGAATGTTGAATTCTCAGATGGAAGGCTCATTCGTCTTGTGAGTTACTCTACTGAGCTACTTATAATTGGTTGCTAGTGCAAGTTAATCACGCTACCGACAAGCAGCTCGTGGCTGAAAGATTTAGAATTTGAATCCTCCCCCGAGATTCTTAAGATGCACACTGCAGCCAAAGGCGAAAGAGCCCTACGGTGTCTCTCGCTTTTCGATAAAGGCTAACTTTACGTAAGAGACGAAATCTGGATGGGCCTAATTTCAAATATTCCCATGTTATCAGCGAAGGGTATTTTTTACATCTCACTAATGAAGTTCCGTGCTCTACACTTGGTAAAGGTTCTATCAATTACAGGCCTTTTGTTTCTATTGAGAACAATTTGTCTGACACTCATATGACCCTTTTGCTCCCACACACCTACGAGTCCCGTGCTGTTCAAGCATATCCATTTGATCTAAAAACCTGTCACTGTGCTTCTGCTGCCATCTGCTTTATTCTTGATGGACAGAAATTATGTACTATTGTACAGTGGAATAACTATTGACTGTAAGGTTGTGAAAGCGACGCAGTAAGATTGCACATTACTAAGCTGGATGAAGCAGACTGACCGTACCGATCTGCCGTTGAAAAGAAACCTCAGAATCAAGATATAAAGGGAAAGCAGATGTAAATGTCAAAATGTTTGGCTCACGGTTAAGTCTTAATGAGTATTGAAGATTGACGCGCTATCGCTCCAAAACGGATAACCAGATGGAACAAGAAAATCAACATTTATCCACAATTCTAGTTAGGTCATCTGGATTTTACATCAGATTCCCCTGCCAAGGCATGCATTTCGCTACTTTCGTCAAGTGACGGTAGTACGTAACAATACAGATGCACTTAGCTTAGAAGTGCCAAAGAAACCAAACCATCTGACTCGCTTTTGGTAACATGAACAGCTGGATTTTGCAGGACGCCCTAATCCGTCTACTGTCATCTGGAAACAGTCTTAAAATTCCATCGTTTCTGTTAAACAGCTCTTGGAAAGACTTATAGACTAATCAGAAAGACGACAACATTAACACCTGATGCAGTCCGTATGTGTGCATTAGGCTTATTGTCTATGGTTATACTCTATTTTTCGTGAAGCATCCTAGTCCTCAGCTCAATTGAGACGTGGTCTTCGGTAAAACCTCAAAAACTCTGTTCAAGTCACTGAGGGAATGAGTTTCGGCAAACCATCCACAGATATCTAATTGGTGAAATTAATCAGATCTGAATGATTATCACAAGTGCTTCCTGCTGTTGTTCTCTCATCCCGTTCCCAAATCTCAGTCATAGACAATGTAATCAACGAATAAGGGACTGACTCACGACCTTTTGAATTCAGGTACAGAAGATTGGCTCTCCGCTTTCATCCGTGTCGCGCCAAACCCGGAGAAGATTCAAAGGAAAAATTTGAGTTAATCTCGGAAGCTTACGATGTTTTGTCTGATCCGAAGAAGCGCGCAATTTTCGATCAGTTTGGTGAAGAAGGTCTCAAAAAGCAGGCCCCAATTGGACAGTCCTGGTCCGATCCCTATGCTTATCATGGTGATCCTCACAGAACGTTCATGGAATTTTTTGGAAAGGATAATCCTTTCAGTCGTAGGTCCAACTTCATTTGTTTTTCGTCATGCGCAATATCTCACAGAATTTCAAGAAGAAATGGATTTCCAGATGCGGAGTAATTTTGGAGGACCAACCGGTCGAGGACAACCTAAACAGGATCCACCAATTGAGCGAGAAATGTTCTTAACGCTGGAGGAGGTGTACAATGGATGTGTTAAGAAGATGAAGGTGTCCAGACGGGTACGTACTAGAATCTGTGTCGGAATTTATTGGTTAATTTTTATCCGCGGATTGTGATGTCCGACTTACATGTGGGAGAGGGATCTTTTGGGAGGCGAATGACAGTTCAAAGGATCCATTTGGTTACGTGATATTCGTATGTGGCTTCCTTCTATCTGGTCTGGCTCATTTCCAATATCACGCTCCAATGTACAGCTTTTTGAGCCGGATAAACCAGCTTATCCATGACATCTCCTTTAGGAAACGTGAGGTTTCTGAACAGCAGCAGTCTAATGAAGTTCCGCGGGTCGCAAGCTATATGAGGGGAACAACAACGCCATCTTTGCGAACATTCAAGCATTGGAGCACTGTCGAATTAAAACCACATTCTGAATAGTCCTTGTAATTATTATAGTTTTTCCCTGAGAGGAGCACTTCTACCAGGAACAGAAAGTGATTGTGGAAGCACTCGTCTCGTCATTGGTGAGTTCAAAGAATCTTAGAAGATAAAATATCCGGTAGACTTCAGATGCCATGTTTGTCAAGAATTTTTCGCTAACATTATGAGTAGTATCACTAAATAGAAATTATTTTTTTTATGAACATACCCAAGTTTATTTCAATGTAAACGTGTGTTAGAGCAATATTTCTGTGCTGACAACCAGCTGCCTCTTCCTTCTTCAACTGTAAACCCCACACTTCTTTAGATGCACGGCACAGTGTGTACCATTGACTTGTTTGTGCCTTTTCTGGTAATTTAGTCAGTAGCTAAAAGTATAAAGTATTGTAGAGTCTACATGCAAAGTTTGAGGTATTACAATGACTCTAAATAGGTCTAAGAACGTGGTGTACCTAAGAAGACACTAATTACTGTATTGAATATTTTCCTCTCAAAGCTCATCTGTTTGTTGTAAGGTCTGGTTTTAAAACTAAGAACATATGGGGATAGTAACCTATGTTGCGAGTAGGTCGCCTGGGTTTCATAGTCTACGGAACCCGGTGAAACTCATTCCCTTTATAAAACTTCGTGGCATTGGGAAGTACTCAATTTCCAACACCATTCTACACCACATCAGTAGATCTGTTTGATTCTTGGACGCAATTACCAGGGAGATATAGTTTTCTTACGCCATTACTGCTCGTGCAGCTATTCATAATATATTTCAGTCACCCTTTCTCCATCTTACCGGTGTTTTTTCACTCTCTGCTTGAAATGTGAGTAGCATATTATTATCCCAGGCACAGCAAAACAATAACTTGACCACAACTACCTCATCAAGTGCTGGTTACAATGACCTGACAATCGACGGGTTACACAAGCACCAAAACCGAGGATTTTCAAATGTTTTGCTGTGTTGCGCTTGACTTACAGTAGTGCCAAACTACATCCTTGATCAGATCGATAATACCAGTCCAAATCACTTGTAGTAAGCGATGTTTGTCTTCGACAACCAAGTGAGTTCTCAATACGTAAGATTCGGATCGCCAACTGGCTTTTTTCGTTTTCACATTGGCTGTAATATCGAGACAGAGGTCGATTAGAAAACTATGGGAATGAAATCAATCCAATAAACATTATTCTACGCTATGGTTTCTATGTATATTGGTGTCGGAAAACTTTAGCGTGAGAATTCAAGATGAACTCACTCGCTTTACGTGGCTTGTTACTCATAAGATACAATGCAAAAAAGCTTTCGATAACACCATTCCGAATTAATTGATATGCTAGCTGGCAACAACCAGTACCCATGGCAGCGATACACTAGTGCTTGGTGCTGGTTTTGTGGACCAAAGTGGCTGTGAATTTTGCATATTCTGCCGACGTTACTGCCCTTGTAACAAAGTATAGCCGTCTGTTTTGTGGCACGGTATGACCTGGACAGGCTAAACTTTTGTGTGCAGCAAGCAGCGTCCTAACTTGGAAGTGGCCTTTACTTGATGGAAATAAGGTGCATCGCGATAATGCTATCAAATCAGCCGTACCTCTACTCTGATTACATGGAAACTGTAACGGGTTTTATTTCCACGCCAGCTATTCTTTGATCACCATATCTTCTAAGGACGTTTTGTCATATTCCTTGTATCCTGGAGCTGCCTATATGACTATATGTTTCGACAGAAGGGATTTTCCTCATAGTTTTCCGCTTCAAATTCATTTATGGGCCCCGAGACATCAGTTTCAATCAATTTTGTCACCGATTTTACCCGTTAAGAATGTTTCTTACTTGGCTGTTGATTGGGTGGTGGTTGATATGTATGGTATCGAAACTTTTGCAAGCTACTTGTCAGGCTTAGCGGACGGATCAACCACCACCTGCTTAGCAGCCAGCCAACACCACCGAGCTGCCACTATTTCGGCATGCTGTCAATATTTCATACTGTTTTACAATATCTCCAGATAATGAATGAAGACGGGCACACGAGCAGTATTCGAGACAAGGTTCTTACTCTTACAGTGCGTCCTGGTTGGCGCGAGGGCACACGAATCACTTTCCCTAAAGAAGGCGATCAAGGACCGAATACAATTCCCGGTAAGCATTTTTAGCTCCTAGGACTTCACTATGATAACAATAAACTCTTCCTGGTTACATATCGGAACCCACCGTATAAAGAGGTAAAACGTTAAACGGCAGGTTCCCGTCACAGACCGTGAACAGTCAAATAAGTCCTGATTTCACCTTGTGTTATGATTCGGTTAACGCACTAGAAATTAATTTACTCGTTAAAATCAGTTAGTCAGTGTACTCTCCAAAAGGAACTGCACCACCAATATTTTCCGACCTTTAAATAAATTCAAGACTATCAACAGATAGCACAGGAGACAGCTGTCTGGTTTTGTTTCCCATGTCCTTGTGTTACGCACCGATCAAACCAGGATTCTCCGATATTATGCGTTCCGGAACGAACTTATCAGTAATACTGCCCTTCATACATACTCATGTCGGTTGGAAACAAGAGGTAGCTTAACCCAAACTTCCTTTCCATGAGCGTGCTAGATCTGGACTTTTGAATCTAACTAACCAGGTCGATTTCGAAAAGTTTGGAGGCTGTAAGATAAGCTGCAATTGGTTGACGCATTCATCCCAGTTCGCTAAGTAGGTACAAGCATATGTTATGGTCATCGGTTAATGTGGGTGACTGCACTTGGTTGGCTTTTAGGAATAATCACTACACTATGTTGTCTAAATAGCTCAGAACCGTTGCACTCATCGGCTTGCTTATTTCGCTGTATACAGTGTGTACTCGCAATGTCTTTCCTTTACAGCTGACCTCGTTTTCATATTGCGAGACCGACCACATCAATACTTTCGCCGGGAAGGAGCAGATTTGATATTCACCACGCCCGTACCTTTGGGACAGGCCTTGCTTGGATGCATCGTTGACGTAAATACTTTGGATGGTCGACTATTACATGTGCCCATCACTGAAATTATTCGGTAAGTTCAGACATCATCGTCGTGATGCAAGGTGTGCAAAGATTGTGTTCCATTACTTCACATTGGCCGAACGACGATCACTCGTTGGAGGGCTGCCTGTCATGATGCAAGGACAAAAGGTTGTACCTGAAACTTCCCACATAATTGCCAGTATGGTACACAAGATAAGAAGAAAGTGGGGAAACCTCAAAAAGACAATGAATTTTTTCACTTATGTTACCTGGCGTTGAGTGGTCGCACACGTATCCGGGCTCTGGAAAGAAACTTTAGGTTGCTCCTGTAAAAATGATGAGCAAAGGGTGTGCAACAACAAAGTGGAGAGGGGAATCCAAGGATGTAGTTGGAAGTCTCTGGTACATGTATGCTACTCTGGAGGTTAAGGTTTTCGTAGCCTGGATGTCTTCAATTCAAGAATCGTTTGACGAATGACACGATTTATTTCACCTTCTAACCATAAGCCATTTTCAACCCTGTGCCGTACAGGTTCTCGATGACCAGGCGCAACTTGTTCGTTGTGTTCAAATCCAGCAAAATCAGTTCCTGTTTTTGGCACTGTGTGACAAGTCAGCCAGCCAACGGGTTGATTTTTGAGTATAATAAATTATGGTAATATACAGATAAAACCCTGAATATTAGTGTAAATATTCACTCCAAAGCGTTAGCCTGTGGTGCCTGCGATAGCTACGATAACTTCGGTAACAACCTCACCTAGAAGATTAACTGTATTCGACCATTGATTAGTTTACTTTATTTTTATGTTGGCTTTATGACTGTGATGGCGTGAACCAGCATGATGAACCGAAGTTAGCCAAATGGTTCGACCTTTTCAGATGATCATCATTGCATCGATCCTATCATATATTCATCATTTTACTGGCTAATCCGGATCACCTGCTTGTGGGATAATGGGCGTGGGCAAAAACCGATAGTTACCCACGGTAAACTGTTTTAACAGAAGCCTGACACTCCTAATGGAAACGCTGGAATAAAACAATGTGGGTTAAGTATATATTTTATGTTTTGACTTGTGATTTGGCCAAAGTACTTATGGAGTCGAGGTGGCAGTATCTGGATGTCAATTAAGACTCGTCGGACCACGACATAACAGCTGAGCATGAAAGCTGTAACCAGAAAACTCGGTCGTGCTGGCACCAGTTATCTCCCTGAATTTTGGTTAGCCAAGCTTGACGAACAGAATAACAGCAACCTGATCAATTACCAATTAATGCACCCGAGCTACCAATATTCCAACACATTACTATCTCTCTGAATGTGTTCCATGGTATGAGCTGCATCGCTTGTGCGGTGTACTGTGGGATATGCGCTAATCACGCATTCCATGGGGTCCCTGTATCCGAGCTCTTACCTTCCATTATCACAATTCACAATGATAATCAGGCGCTCTCATATGCCGTAATCATTCTATTCACATTTCAATCCTTGAAGCCTTCGCGTTTCATGCCGCGCTATTTCCCTCTAATTCACTCGTCATTGTTGAGAAAGCGGGACAGTTCATGATACTGTACGTCTTACGGCAGTTAATGATTCGCACAAGTGCGATATCGTATTACTTGGCTTCTTTGGCTTTAATCTTCGTCGATCATCCTGCTTTGGCAGGCAAGGATCACGACATTAGTCGTACTAATCATTTGCTTGACAACATTCTCTCAGCCTATGAAACAAGTCTCGTTTCGACCGGATGCGCACAAACAATTCACAGCTAGTGAATACCCTTATTCCAGTGCGAAGTAAATGCGTGAGAAAATTTTGGCCGGTCAACTTCGGTACCACAGTAATCGTACTTGTTAGTAGACGCTTTGGCGATTCAGTCCGGGGGAGAAGGGGTTCTCAATAAGTTTGATCGGGTTCGGCTTTGCGCTTTAGATACAAACGACACCCGTCGGCGAGTTATCTTCTTTAATCATCACACAACTCGCTAGCCCGTTGTATCTACACAGGCATTCTTGGTTTCGACCATCCGTTACGATAGTGCAAATTTTGCCACCTCCCCAACAATTACGCGTTTTCCAGAGTTTCATACACTGCACCTCTGTGCTTAAATCTTTGACTGACGTTTGAGCTTCATACGGGTTTCTTAGTGGTTTGCTTCTTTTCTTGTGTTGTTTGCAGTTTCTTGGCTGTTGGTCCTACACCACTATTTGTGCAGCCGTTAGTTTCAACTTTTGTGTGCGTAGTCACTAGTAATATGAACTGAGAGACGCGTCTTAAGTGGAAGAAAATAAGGAGTGTGAAGATTTTGCCCTTAACGGAACGCCTCTGTGAAATTATTCGTATGCAGAACCCCTCTAATAAAGCCGGATGTCCCTGTTTAGTGTGGCACGACCGCTGCCCCAATCCCCACTTGGGTGAGTCCTGATTCTTGGCCAATAACTATCCAGGTTAAAACTTAATGAAAACAACCGAGCATTTGCTTTCCTGAAGTATCGTTTCTTCCTCAATTTGTACTGCTACTTGGTCAACCTCTTTCGTTCTCTTATGTGACTAAACCACAACGAAACAATACTAGCGTATGCTGTGGGCCGATGAGTGAGGGGACATCACTTGCATAGAGGACACCATTGGGAACGACCAAGCACCCGCTCTTGTTGGGTCAAGGTGAGTTGGTCGGCGGGTTACTCCTATCAGAAAAGTACTCTCCCAGTCTTATTATTTGTGCGGATAGACAGCTTTTAGATATTGATTCGCCTTGACTGTAAAGGGAAACAGTCTACCAGATATCAAATATTTCCAATCTCTCAGTCCGGTGAGCAGTACTCTTGAGGATTAGGAGAAATCCCGAATGCCTAACTTCACTCCAGATGTTTAAATTTAAAAATGCGGTACCATATTGCAATCTAACGCACAGCTTGAGTTGTGTTCAAGCCGACTGGTAAGAATGGCAATCGAAACATTTTCTCCTAAAATGCAACACCCCTACTGGCTCCTTATTCTTCGTAATCCTTCAATGCATCTCTTGTGAATGTGACCTGAGTTGAGCAGAAGTTGAAGGAGGACCGTGATACACTAATTGAAAAAACGACCGCCATATGTCTGAAACTTCTCAACAGCTTCGTTCTGTTGCTTCACCCAATTTGCTTTGTCTGTCTGCAATTAACCTTTTTTTTACTTCTATATCACCCCTTAAAGCCCCGGATACGAAAAAATAGTCCCCGGAGAGGGTATGCCTTTGGCGGACGAACCAGGAAAGAATGGGGATCTACGTATACAGTTCGAGATCCAGTTCCCACGAAAGCTCAATGCAGATCAGAAATTACTTGTTGAACAAGCTTTATTCGGATAACTACGGGTTTTTGACTTATCAGAGTTTCCAAACCTAAGTGTGGCAAGCAGAAGACTGCCGTAGAAACGGTTCATGTGCTTCAGTTATCAATATTTATGTGAATATTTAAATCTTGCCGAGTCATTGCAAATTAAGGTAAGTAACTTTTTGCGATTAATTCTTCTGCCATAACCAATCCGTACATCATATTTGTCGACTAACAAGTCTTTTCGTCGAAAACAGGAAATTTATTTTATGTGAATATTTAAATCTTGCCGAGTCATTGCAAATTAAGGTAAGTAACTTTTTGCGATTAATTCTTCTGCCATAACCAATCCGTACATCATATTTGTCGACTAACAAGTCTTTTCGTCGAAAACAGAGAAATTTATTGAACGCCCTTCCATTTGTGTTTGTATGATGCCTGTCAGTTGGCACGTCTTACTCGTATACCCCTCACGGTTCGAAAACTTGCAGGAATGTGTCCCAGTCTTTTTCGAGGCGTTCAAAACGAACGAACAAACCCTTATAACTCAACTAGATTTCTGCTGGCATTCCATTCATCGGCTTACCAGTTTGGTGAAAAGTAAATTTTTCAGCATCGACGGACAGACAGTCAGAACAACCTAGTCGCACGCAACCGAGTGATTTTTCTGTTTTCCGGTTGATCAGCCATATATTCATTTCCGAAAGCAAAATCGATAAGTTAATCTGAGTCGGATGAATTCGCTATTTTCCTTCCCACAACCCTGTGGAACAGGAATACGGAAATGGTCTGATCTGATTACTGGATCATCGTAAACCTCACACTCTAACAACCCCGGTCACAAAGAACTACACAAAAACAGTAGGTCGAAGTCTGAAACGTCATACATAATTTTCAAATAGACAACAGCATAGCGCCTCAAGCAAAACTTGTATTGTGTCCATCAGAACTTCCGATTGTTGGACTGTTCGAAAGACGCAGAATTCCAGAAAGCACCTTTACTATGTTCGTTTATCAGTCAATATGCCTCTAAAGTCTGAGTTTATTGATATCACAATGACTTCATTGAATTTCCACAATTCAGACGGCATAATGTGTGCGCACTATCCACGGCCAGACCGCCTGAGTTAGCATTTTTCTTAAAGTTTTCCGTCTTCGTGACCCATATATTATCGACTTGATAGATTAAACGCCACAGTTAGCAAGCAAAAGTACTATTTCAAAAGCTGGCTAGCATATCAACTGGACAGCGTTATCCTTTATCCAACCGGCCAATTCATTGATAATCCATATGCTTTGAATCGTGGATGTTATAGAGATATCGTACTTAAATGTTCGTTTTGTTATTCCACTTTCAGGTGTGGTAATTTCAGTTCGTACAGATGAGGCATCAAGGCCGATCCTTCCGCGGTCCATGCTACAGAACTTATTTATTGTCCACATCCGATTATTTATGATAAAACGTGTCAACCACCACACATTGCTATTTTCGTGTTTTTACCGTGTGAAAAATCAATTCAGTGTAACATAACAATAAACGCACGTGGCAAGACGCATGTGGGGCAAAACACTAACACTAACGACCAAAGGCGGTTAACAGTGACCGATAACTACATCGTTTGTCAAAAATATTGCGCACAAGCGGTTCACCTATGCCATGCGCGCTTCCATTGGGGAAGGAGATTGAACTACTGCTTGGCTCCGAACTACGTGACTTCTTTACCGAAGGTCTTCTACGGCCTTCTTATGTCAGGATGCTTCTGAAGTATTCTGAAACGGGTTCACTATACTTCAGTCGACCATTCAAACTCAACTTATTATCGCTCAGCAGCGTTCTTTATATGTGGCAGGGTCACTCGAAAGTGAGTCACAAGCAAATAGGACCATCACGAAAAAAATAACACCCCGAGAGTAGCCAAGCGTGACTTGAGGGAATAATCGTTTGTGAGCCTGCTGCTGGGGTGCATCATTAAACGGCTCCATGTGGCACCTCGACAGTCGGGGAGCAGTCGGATAAATACTCATGCACCACATAGTGTGCAGCAGAACCGAAGGACAAATCCGATACTCGGTCGGAATACGGCACCTAGCGATTGAAAAGTATCCACCACGAACACATCAACATGACTAATACTTAAGTGAAAACCAAGCCCCAGGACGTGACAACTTAGCACCATCGTTCTTCAGCTTTGCGATCTGGTGGCATCAGTGGCCTGGGCCTTATGCCCCACTTTACCATATTCCAAGAGGAACCGATGCTCATTATTACGGAGGGTGACAGCTTTATGGTCCTCTGGCTTATTTCATCTCATCTCCTTGCTTACATCTGTAGGACACGCTTTTTGGGAGATTTTACGTAGTTGGCCAGTCCTTTTGATCCTCCATATGGAAACATTGCTTATTCGGATCAGTTACTGATGGATCATCCCAACACCGTTTGCCGTACGAGTGCAGAAAAACTTGCTTGTATTCTTCCGTGCCAAAATTGCTAAGTTAAGCTCAAAGTAAAATGGGTCCTGACGCGAAGCTCGATCAGTTCACGAAAATAGACCGGTTTTGTCAGAGACAGTTTATCCGATGACCAGCTGAAGCCGGATAAGTGAATACGATGAGGATTCAAGAAATTCAGCCAGAAACAGGAACCATGAGCAACGCTCAGTGATGTGAAGTCGACCAATCCTGACTCATTTCAAAGTAATTGGTGGTGAAATACTATACTGTAGTCCCGTCTACAGATTGATACTTTAGTTCTGATAAATCGCAAAGTAACGGAAGAATACAAGCCCAGCGTCTCGAGGACATAACGCTTTACTCCGTGAGTTCACCAAACGCCTCTTTTATGGCACTTGCACTGGATCTCTCCTAGAGAGTTTAACTGGTTAGGTTCGTTAAAAAAGCTCTCGCTGTACAGTAAACCACTGCAAAGAACAAAAAGCGTGACCCATAAAGGCAAACTTGTTTGGCCGATCATTACTACTAGCTCCAGCGAACACAGGCAAACCACACAAGTGGGTTATCAAAGATTTATGGAGAATTTGAGACCACATAGACTGTGAAGCCATAGTTTACCGCACCAACTCACATTGACGTCGTTGAACTCGTTCACGGGTAGGTGTTCATATATTTGGTTAGGTCGAAAACTGCGTAAGATTTATCAAAGCATTGTGATTTCTTCGGAATGGAGGGGTGTGGACTGTTGGTTACGAATGGGCCTAGTTTATTCAGCGGTGTGGTCAACAGAGAATGCGAGCGCTTTCAGCTCAGCTCCATGACCGAGGATCAATTCAAGTGTCTCATCTTCGTGGCTGGTCTTCAATCGCCACACGATGCAGATATTCGGACCCGGCTACTGAATCGAATTGAACAGGATCCAGAGTTGACGCTTCAGAAACTTACCACTGAATACCAGCATCTTATCAATCTCAAGGCCGATGCTGCAATGATTGGACATTCCAAATTCTCTCAGCCTGATATGGTATGCAAAGTAACTTCCAAAAGGAAGTCAAATTCAAAACGAACTCCAAGAAAACCGCCCACACCCTGTTGGTTTTGTGAAGAATGGCACTATTCACGCCACTGTCCCTACCGGAACCACAAGTGCAGTAAGTGCAGTCGAAAGGGTCACAAAGAAGAATGCTGCAGAGACAACTTCAGGAGCTCGCGCAAACACCGACCCGACAAAAGGACGCACCTCTCGAACGTCGAATACCGCTGACTTCCTGACATCCCACGCTACAGCAATCGTCTACCGTAAACAAGGATGAACCCGTGATTTTGATTCCCTACCCATGCCGCCTGAGGCGTGACCCAGTCTGCACCAGGTATTGCCCAATGTTTATGTCCCTTTTCCACGAAATTCCCAGCGCCCGCAGATCCCACAAGTCATGCTCCTATTCTGACTGTAATACTATGAATGTGTGCCTTGAGGTATGCCACCTACTAGTTAAGAAGTAAATATTATTATTATTGGGACTTAGCTTTTGAAAAATGGTTTATGGATTTGCATCACGTGCGTGGCTTGTGCAGGCAGTGAGACCGCTTTGCTGTCCGTGTCCTGGTGAGTCTTATCTCGTGTGCACTCGCGAGTGTCAGTCGCATCTAGTCGCTGGTGTATCCATTGTAAGTAATCCGGAAGTTCTATAGGGAATCACACACGGCCATTCTCATTTCACAGTTGTATGAAACCGGTCTGAACTAAGGCGGGCCTATGTCGTAGTTATGCTACCTGATGCAATCCGTGGCGGCCCGAACAAAACTAGTGGGCATCGTTAAGTGTGCTTGTATTGATCAAGCCAAGCAGACTGGCTGAAGACTTAGCTGTGAACAAACCAGCGGTTGAGGATGAATATCCGACGGAGAATGGTGCTACCAGTTGCGTGGAATCACTGGGCCGAGACCCAGCTGACTGATTGTTCGGGGGCCAGCCGCCCCTAATAACCGAATATCACATCATTTGGACGCATGTGTCACGTGCAGGACACGGGCCAGATGTAGGCACGCCCTGATTGGTCAGAATGCCAGCCAACCCGAGCCAAGTACCTTGACTCGACGCTTCTCGCCCCCTCACGGACATTCTGGCACGACCTTTTGGAACACTCTGTGACTACTCTATATATATATATATACAGTTGTAATGATTTTCCTTTGTCTCCATAAAGGGCTGTGTAGAGCTAACGTGCCTTTTGCTATACGTGGGCGGGCGGAGCAGGAAACCAAGGGACCGACACTGAGTTGCATTACCGTCCAGCAAGTTACAACACAAACAGACCCTTTCAAGACCTTTGCAGAGAGTTGCATTACCGTCCAGCAAGTTACAACACAAACAGACCCTTTCAAGACCGAGCTTTGCAGAGGCGGACTCAATGGTCCAGTTACAAAATGCTTTTATGAAGAGAAAAGGTACCTTTTAAGAACAGCATTTCAGAAAAGCACGCGGTCTATCGCCTAAGGTGGCATAGCTTTATTCCCATTGGAAAAAGTGATGGGAGACCTTCTGGAATGAGCATCCGTATGAAAACAACGGGCAGTTGCGATAGCATAACAGAGCTTGAATTTGCTGTGCTTAACAACTCCGTCAAATCAGCGCAGAGAATATTCGTCCAGCAGCGACGATGGCATACTATGTGATTTAGATCGTGGAGACTATCTCGACATCATACCAGTCGAACGCGTGCCTTTAAGCTCACAACTACGCTAAAGCTTTGCGTCAGTCAGTTTTCGGGGTACCATGCATCCATGCTAAATTCCGCCAAACTGATGGAGATTAGGAAAGGAAAATTTCCACCCCATATCGAACATTGAAATCGGTGGGGAGGTGGGTGGGTAGAAACAAGGCAACACAAAATGAGAATTTTTCAGTAGGACTGCTGCAAAATTTGTTGGCCTGAAGTAATGCCAATCCAGTGTCAGTATCACTTAATTGGGAAGGAACCTGCGACAAACTGAATTTGGACTTCTTCGAATTCACAGCCTCATATTGTTCGATTCTTATGATTAGCGAAACACTAATAGTCAGTCTACTTCTATTCCATTATGAAGTTAACTGGGTCGCCGCGTGATGATTAACGATAGGTGATATATATTGACCTCGTATTAGGTGTCTACTCAAACTCATTTATTCATTGTCGTTTGCAAGGGCTATGGTAAAGCAGCAGTTCAACTAATCATGTGTAGTAGCTGAATGTCTGGTGCGCGACAGATGTCAATCTCAGGGGAGGTAAAAATTGAATGAAGCGTACGGTTTTGTTGGGCCTCGATGGAGTTCGCTCCTGGAAAGGAATACTACGGTTGGATTCTTATCCGGAATTGACAGCAGGGAAGTGCATCCACAAGCACGAGATAGCCAAGCAGGAGTCAACACCTTTTTTAAACATAACGAAAAGCTTCACTTTTCTTGACAAAATTGCTGGAATGGCGGTTTCATCCTTTTCGGACCCATCGCCGCACACCAGGTTGCACGTATGCGAACGTGAACACTCGTTTGCAAATCAAGTTGGTACTAACGAGGGAGCCAATGAATATCTTGTTCATAATGTTCTTCAAAGGAGCTTTCCCTTAGGCTTTGGTATGGACGACACTCAAGAGTATTTCCTTTCACAAAACAGTTGGGTTCGCCGTTTTTGATCACTATGACGAGTTATGTAGTATTCCTGGAAACGATGCGAGGTTAGTAAAGGGTTAGAGAGAATCCCGTAAGTGCTTTCTAAGCTACTTTATTTCGAAGTGATAAGCCTGGGTTATAAGATACGACACCGATGATCATTATCAGTGACAGCAGCAAGTGAACATAGATACATCACTGCCATACAACCACGTCAACCTGTTTGATTAAAGCCTTAGAATGGAAGGAGAAACTGGACAGGGAGGAGAACCTAGGGCTAGCCCATTAAATATTCTAGGTGTCTACATATCTAACACTCAGTTAAACGATCTGGATATGAACTGATGGCATGGATGCTACCGATGACGGTTAGCAGTCATATCTTTCATTATCTTTAGCTGAGCGCTGGGAGGGGGTCAGGCAGCCCCAGTCTAGGAGGCGGACAACACCCAGACTTCTCATTGCGTCATTCTTTTTTGCCATGCCCTATGCTGTCACTTCAAATAAGGCGTATGACATAACACTCCCTTCGGCAGAGCGTAACTCGGCATGAGTAACACATGGGCCAGCCAAATTAGCTTAAAATGTTGGATTCAAAGATAGTCGCTCGAAAGCAGTGCAAACTGCTGGTTCTGTTGGGCATCACACCGATGTTCAACAGGAGAGACTGTATGACCGATTCATCATCATCTAATGTAGATTGGTCTGAATTTAACGGAGAATATGATCATATTCTGGAGAAGAACAACTGCTGAGCAAAAATGCGAAAAGGTAGTTTTTACCTTCGGAGCCCCTTCTGGTGGGTGTAGATAGATCTGTAGAGGCACCGTTTGCAAATACGCGGTCACGCAAGTTGACGGATACGTAGGAGGGAAAAGGTTACCGTACATGTTCTTCTTACGCTGTTGTAGACAGCATTCAAGGAGAGAGTGATCCACAGATAGGGGGTATGGTGAATTGGATCGGAGCTCACATAGGGTCTATGCATGAGTGTTACATGAGCAATTACCAAGCTACCGGATTTCGGTATACTTTCTGAAGTGAGAACACAATGTAGTTTTCATTGAGTATTTATTCCACAAAATATGGTTATCTGAACAAATAGCCGAGATAATCAGATAAAGGTGAAGAAAGTCTCCTCTACAAGAAGAATGACAAAGCTTCCAATGATGATTATTGACTGAACGCCAGTAGCTCAAAAACAGTAGCACATTATCGCCTGGCTAGCTCATAATTTTCTCGGAACCATCTACAAGTTTCTTGGACAGCTGAAATTAAAAAAAAGGGGAGAAATCATCCGTATGAAATTGGCCGAGAAAATGAACACAAGTGTGAACATTCGTGTAAGTTCAAGCGCGCTATGAGAAACAAAGCAGTCCGTTTCCAGTGGTATTCTACGCCATGCCTCAACATCAGGAAAACACCAGCACACTTGGGTAGCAGATCTATGGAGTACAGATAACAGTAGGTGCTGCGTATCAGCCAAATGAACATATCATTCACTATAGTAAAATAACAATGGTATCGTTGTCACATAATAAAACCAGAAATCAAGGATGACTTTTCAGTTAAGCGACAGTGATTCGGAGGTAACGTAAAAAATGCAGGAAACTTAGTGGCACCTACGAATACTAACATATCTTTAATCCGGCTTATGCGTGCAATTTTACACACGTACCAGACAGTTACTTCCTACACAACCCAGAACGGCCGCCGCAATAGCGATTGAATCTATCGTACACACTCACGACATCATTCAAAACACTGAACCCATGATGGCGACCGAAACCCCCCAGAACGTCGTTAAGATATCCATAGGGACCAAGGCAGAAAACCCTAACAAGCCTGCTGCGCTACGAAGGTATTCCCCAACATGTCATCTCTGCTCCTTTACCAGTTGGCTTTCCGAGAACCGTGAAAGCCGCCATTTTTCACGTCCAGAGGGTTTCCCTTCTGGCGATTTACGTGCTTTGTGTCATACCGACTCTTTACGTTAAACATATTATATTTGCAATTCGCTGTATGAAGGCAGCAAAAGGCCTGTATAGCGGAATGCATGAAAAAGCAAATGTAATCAACCCGAAAACATAGCTTTGACTTTAAAAAATATCAAACGTGTTATCGATTCTGACATTGGATCAATTTGGAAAATGACTTTAGCTGGTTACAACTGTGTTTTTCAGGTCCCCATCCATCGTGATGACTCAACAAAGGATAATCTAGCGGTAAGTTCGTTTTCCTTGGGTTACACATTAATGTCAAGATGATCGTTTCAGCTATGTCAAGGGCTCGCAGACAAGGCTCGTTCAGGAGACAGGTAATTTAAGACGTGTTCCAGGCATTGTACCCGGTATCGTACTAAAATATACTCATCTGAAAAAAATAGTGTTCCACACCCAAAGTCATTTGACGAACATCTATGTTTTTCATATGTTGCTTTTACCATACATCGGTGCGTATCAGTGATCATGCATGGTCAGCCTATTGACTTCCACTTCAAAAGGTATACGCCACACATTCGTAGTCTCGGTAACCTTGGGTTGGTCTGCCGAAGTAGCGAAGAAGCCTTAAGCGAAGTTTACGGCCGTTGGTTACACCAACAATTGATAAAGCTGTGGTTAAATTTGACTAGTCACAGTAAGGTGTATGCGCACAAGACCCTGTTGATCAAGTTAGAACAGGTCAAGGATAACAGTCATTTGGATGCATGCAACAGTTCAAAAGTAAGCCTTTAAAAAACGACGAATTGATTGTCATTATCAACAGAGACGGCAACTTCAATGTTGACACTGGCGCTTCACTGCTATACAACCACAAAATTTATCCAACCATATTTAAAGCCTTACATTGGAAAAAGTGGGTGATAAAGTGGACCTGGTGCTGACCTATATTAGGCATTCTGCGATGCCTACACTTCTAAGCACTCAACCAGACAATCTGGAGAGAAACTGACATCGATCAGTCACGATTTCTTACAGTCCCAAGCCAAGCGCAGGGGAGACACGGGGCTCTCACTCAAACTCTTTGTAATCTCTTTCACACCATTCTGCAAAGCCATAAGTTGTCCACCTCGCGGTTTGCGCCATTCTGAAGGAGACACGGAGAACATTTGCCTCGGTAAAAATTTCGGCACATGGCTGAGTCACGGCAGCTGATGGTGCTGGAGGCTTTTCGTGGCTGAAGCACCTGCCGCAGAACTAAATAACCGCTTTCTAATCACTTCGCCACGAATTCGCTGACACCAGTCAACATCGGCAACGCTTCTGGGGCGTCGGTGGTCAAAAACCTGAAGAGGCCCCACATCAACTGTCCGCAGAGTCCATGCCTCGCAGCCATAAAAAACAACACAGTCATCACTCTAGCCTTTTATATGTGACCTTTGAGACACGGTGACGGAAATTAGAAATATGATTCCGGTACTTGAGACTCGTTCACTGGATTCATTAGACACACTTCCGTCAGAGATAATACAACTGTCGAGGTACGTGAAATTCTCCAGAACATCCAGTGCTTTTTCTTGAATTGTAATCGGCACGTTCACGGACCGCACGTTCTACAGCATGACGTTGCACCTTGAAGGTGCAAAGCGAACGCTGAAGGATGGTATGATGGTGATCAGGGCGTATAGTTCGCCTTCATCTGTTTGCTCCAGATCGCCAAGGTTCTCGCCAGTAATGATTTGAACACCGAGACCTTGAAAATCTTTCAGCGTTCGCTCCAGTACTTCATCGACGACGGATTTGAACAAGAACAAACAGTGGACATGCTTGTCGGACACCACTTTCTGTAGGGTAGTTATCCTAGTTTTGATTATCTGCGATTATTTTACAGCTCAACAGGCTACGCTGTCTTATATTCATGTATAAACCCCAAAGCATTACATCCTCAAGTGCATCTTACCCTCTAGAGCAAACGGTCCTTCCAGCAGTCGATGTGGAATGTTTGACCGTATCTACTAACCCGAAAGAAGAAACAAGACCGTTTAAACAATGATACACAACATATTAGACAACACCGCTCTATAGGCTAGTGATCGGCCTAGCTGTTCCAGGCTCAAAAGCAGATGCTCCACATTGCTTCTGAGTGTACTCACAGCTTCCTAAAACCCCGATAGAGAAGAATTACTCGCATGTGACACGTTCTAGGGGACCAATATGTCACTCACAAATCAGTTGCAATAAGAGTCTTGAAAATGACATCGTACATTAGTACGAGGAAAAAACTGCTATGGCACGCAGACAAATAGTAATAAACCTTTACTCATGACAACATGCCTTATGCTTATAAGCAAAGCTAAATAATTGCAGACAGCGTGAACGAAGGAAGAGAGAAGGCAACAGAATGTGAAGTTAACTTCAATAGCTGTGCACTGCCACAATGTACATTGAACAAACCTTCTTCGAAAGGTGTGAATTGGAAGTCCGGTAGCAACGAACGTAGTTTCGAAGCGTTCGCCGTTTTTCGAAACTGACCATCAGCTTTGGTGTTATCATACTGATAGATAGGTTCATGAAGGAAATACAACATGATGAATAAAAGGGATGATGACGAGGGGATAAATTCTGCATCCTATTATGACACGACTAGAACCTGTCCAAGATTATCGTTGTGTTCGGGCACCTCAGCACACTTATCATTGCAACTGGAAATGTACAAACTACCGAGATTTATAATGAATGCAATGATGCCAACCTCAAGCGCGATAGTAAGACGAATCGAACTGTTGTTCACAAGCCATATTTGAGACTCAATCCACAGTGATACTTCTGGTGCTTGTTTGAATCTCGATGACAAGATGCGCTTTCCAGGAGTGAAATGCGCAGCCAATGAATGCGACGGAAATGGTGAGAACCCTAGGGATACACAAATTGTAACTGTGAAAAACAGTATGTGTGAAGCGCCAGTCAATAAAGTTCACACCCGTATCCACAACGTAGCGATTGCCCTGGAACGTCAGCAATACCACGGCCACAAAGAACAGAAGGAAACTATAGTGAAGGAACTAGCTGATGTATAAGGCACTCTTGTGAGACTGATGAGTAACATAAAAAGGATACAACCAGCCTGTCACACCCCATGGCTCGTGCGACTGTTTCAGCTGCATGTCGTATGGAAATTTCATCTTCTTCCGGAACAGATAAGATGATAGGCGAAGGATCGTTGTATTCCCGTAGGACGTACACAATCAGTCGCCCTAGGTCAACGGAGTATATAAACTGGCGAAGAGGTGTCCCCGTTCCAGAAACAACAAGAGGAGTGTTCTGTTCTTTTGAAGATGAGAATACACATGTATCAATGGGTTTGGAACTGCGAGGCATTTTCACAAAATAGAAAAAAGCGACTAGATGACAGGCAGTGGAAACGACAGTTTCGAATGGTCAGGATACTAACTACATTTTTCTACTGCTCAAAGAAAGGCACTGACAAAAAATTCAGCTCCACGTGGCAGCGAATTTGACCTCTATGAAAGGAGACAAAATAGCAACAAATTAGCCACTGGTTTACAACGCCACACTATAGAAACGACGACGAATCAACCAGTAATTAGTTACACCAAAGTCGGAGTGTCAGCAAATTAAGGATCGCTTTTCACCACTGGGGTGTGAATGACCCAACAGACAGCTATGGAAGCACGCGACCACAATATCATATGACCAAAAATGAAAACTAATGCTGTGTGAAGTCGTACTTTTCCAAAACGTTTCATTGTAAACGTGGTTATTTTGGTAAATGTCTCGACTTCTCGGAAAGAATCGGTAACCAGTACGGGGAGAAAGTAAGTGGAAATCTAGACGCAACACACTACTTATAGGACTGCTTATAACAAGATTATCATAGATGAGAAATTCAGCTGTATTCATTTTAGTTTCCCGCCAAAACCAGAATCCTAAGCATTTAAGACTTTCAATCAAATCAACAGCTAATCAGGATAAGTCAGTTCAGAAGTGCGGCCCATGGTCACGCACTTTCAAGGTCAACAGTCTGACAGTGTTAGCAGAGCATGCTGTGACAAAGTCGATTGGATGAGCAACAGCGAGGACGAATGGACTGAGATCTCTGAAACCCGACATGCTACGTATGGAGCTATGCTGAGTTCAGCTGGTCGATAACAGTGGCCATCATGTTCAGCTGAAATACTGATAAAATTAACCGTCACGAACCACAGTGTTACGAAAGTACGGAAATACCGTGACACAAAAATCCAAAACTCACCTTTTGCAAGGTAGGCTTTGTGAATGAGACCAGGTAGAACATGACTGTTCTCCAGGTTGAAGTTGTCAAACGGTCCGAACACATTGGTTGGAACCACAGATGTGTATACGACGCCATAGTGCTGTGTATAACCTCTAGAACAGCGAATAAAACCAGTTTAGGCAAAATGCAACAATAATCGCCCCAAAGTTCTTCAGAAAAAAGTTCCAGATCGATTGGTTGTAATGACTATGGGTACGGATGATCTTCAAATAACCCATTTGGAAAAACAGTTGTTTCAACATGTGAGGGCAAGGTGCAACGTCCCAAAGAGCAGCTGGTTCATTGAGCCAGCGGGTCGAAAATACTGTTCGGCTGAACACTGTCTACATGAGCGGACAACTGACCACCGCACGGTTTGTACACACATACCAAACTCCTAGCAACTGCTCGGACACAAATAGTGCAGGAAAAATCCAGAAGCCAAGGTTCACACGAGTTATTTAATGCAGTAGCACCGACAGCTTACTGTCACGTGTAATAAAGTACTATCTATTGAAGAGATCAGATTTAACACTGGTTTTAGTACTGGTCAAAGGCACTATGAAGGAAACTGAAGGAAAATATGGGGAAAGAAAACAGACTAAGTTGATAACTGACGGTTTAATGTTTTGAGCAACGGCCAAACGAAACATGATATATGATTTCGGGAACCCTGACCATATGTACAAAATACTTTACGAATGAACATTAGGTGAGGATTTCTGTCGCACACTGACCCTCCAGAAAGGATCTAGAGAACTAGGAAACGCTGCATACGGAGTAATTGTGCAGCTAGAAAATGTCATGGAAAGATGAACAACACATGAACGCACTGGAGCTATCAACATTCTATTGCCACGAGCGGGACGGACTAGTTACACGGCCGGGATGAATTATGTGGCTGCGCAAAAACGGTGAACTTGGGTGCACAAAAAGGTCATGATATTTCATAAAGGTGTAAAGTTTTGCTGTTAGTGGGAATCAATCATCCCTGACGTTCGGAAACTAAACTAATGGGGAAGAAAAATATTCACGCAGAGAAATGTCGGGCTACAAGTATGCAAGCAACTGACCTGTTCAGGACATCCAACATTCGTTTGGCATACGAGTATCCATAATTAGAATCATGCGGAGGGCCGTTATGGATCATAGTCTCATCAATTGGATAGGTCGTTTTGTCCGGGAAAATACATGTTGAAAGACAGGAAACAACTTTTCGAACGCCTACAGCCAGGCTACTGGCTAAAACGTTATCGTTGATCTGCATATTCTGGCGCTAAAAGTGAAGAGTAAATACATTTTATTTCAGTGACCCCTATAAACGAAAGCACGAACAAAAAGCACGCAAGCGGCACATGAGAAAATGGGAATAACAGGGAGTAGAAATCTGCAGAAGCACCTTATTGGAATTATAGAGCGACTAGCTAGCAAGTGACCCACTTTTAGAACATTCTTTTCTCTGTATCCATTTGAACATTAGGGCCGGAAGGTAAAGGCAGCGGGACTTCAACAATTCGCTTTTGCATCCTCAGCCTCGGTGATGAAGACCACTAATTTTACATCATAAATGGGATTAAAACTGGAATGGAGCCAAACACATCGCGGGCCAATAGGGTCTAAGTTCAAGGTGATCCGATAGCTTATGCGAAGGTGTCTTGTGCACATAAACTAGGTCGATATTAATTACTCAACACGGCCTGACTGAAAGCTTTCAGTTTCAAATTGACATTGTGGAGTATAATTGACCTGTAACCCGCTGACAGAATTTATAAGCCTTCATCTTAGAACTGAAGAAACAGAGGGGCGAGTGAACGAACGTAAAATTCAACACTAGAAGGCTCAAATTTAGATTATGACGGCAAGGCACTGTGTGCAACCGGATCACTTGAGTCAAACAAGGGAGACCTCTAACTTTGGTTTCGTTTTGTTAACGGAGTCTGTAATCATCAGGAAACATGTTTTTTTTTATAAAAAAAAGACCACAGATAGACGTTGTATCTATGTTGATCCACCTTAACCGGCTGTACACTGAGTGCTTATTCGTTAGAATCTGAATTCCTGATATTTACATGTACGTTCGTTTATTTGTTACTTACGTGGCACGTAGAGCGTCGAAAACAGCGTTCAACATGGCATTAGTCTCCATAAACTGTCGCTATTCGGAATCAAGTGCGTTACATTCTCGAAATCCTATTATTATGATACCAATTATAAGCCTAACTGGATTCTGCATTAATCTTTATGATGGTGTTAGTTTGGAGAACACCACTAATGTTTAGTTTGTATTGAAGAACCTTGTGATCGAAAAAGTTCGTAATGAAATAAGGAACAACAAAATGATGACTGTTTGTGGAATGCAACACACTTACCATAAAGCCAAGTTTAGAGAGTACATAGGTAACATATACTTCTATCTCAACGAAAAGGGACTGGTTTAAGACACATGGGAAAATGAAACAGGCACCTTTGTTTCGAATAAAAACCTGTGCGGACATCGGATTGAGACCAGCGTGAAGAAACAACCATTTACGGTATTCTGTTCAGGAGGTTGACGGGGAACCTAGCTTGCTGTGATCAGAGCAAGATGAATACAGTGAAAAAACGAGGTAGGCAAAGTCTGAGAAACAACACAGACAAGTCGAGAATATTATTCCATCCGACTACGAATCACCTTAGGTCAGGTTCAACATTTTTACTGTCTTCTGTTGCAGGGATTCCCCTTTAAACAAGAGGAGCAAGGTTACCGGTTAGCCATCATCGTTCCCGCCATATGGCAGTTCACTTGGCTGTTACCCATTTTCTCCAAACGGGCGGCATATATGGTGCATAAAATTTCGTTTGGCTCGTGGCTAGACGTAACTCTGCATTGGGTCGTTTGGACATACATCATCACAGGGTGTGCTCGACATCCTGGATGATTCCCCGCTGTCCAAACAGCACATAAATTGAAGTTGTGGTCACCGGCCCGCAGTAGAATGCAGACTCTGAACTATGTCTTTCTGTCTATGGTTCGGGTTCCTCAACCATCAGCTCTGGGTGGGACCACTGTGAGAAAACCTATTTCGGTTTGGGAATCCGGAAAGAATCAGGTCTTCTCAACAAATATAAAGTACAATATCATGAAAACAACACGAACACTATACCGTATAATAGTCTGACTGATCCTGTCTCTGAATTGGTTAAACTAAGCTTAGCTTTTAAAATCCACAGAGAAAAGTTCCGTTCACTCCGTCATCAATATCAATCTTGTCCAACTTTTGGTCAGACAAGAAGCCTTTTTCCATCCAACACGTCTCAACTGGCTGCCTTCAACTTTAGAAACTCAGAAAGATTGAGAAACAAGTAATCCTTGTACGTACCCTGGAAATCGGTGGTGCTGATGTATTTCCTTTATTAGAAACATGGCTGTATAACTGTTGAAGATTCAACTCAAACCGTCTGCGCCCCCATCAAAGGCTGCCCATCATATGAGCTGGCAAGGAGACACAGAGGTTCAGCTTCTGGCCTTGAGCTAGCGAGACGAGTTAGTCTGCCTTGGTTGGATGCCGGCTAGTAGTCAACTTATGCAGTTGAGCTATCAGGATCTTGCAGACAAAACTGTCAAATGGATTAGAACATAATCCGTGGTTTCTTCTTTAGCACCAACCAAGTAGTCCCCAAACACCGAACAATGATTTCTGCACACAGCTGGATAGACTGCTTCTTATGACGTTGAAACTGGTCTCCGTTGTTGTAGCTGCAGACCTCAACGCAGGGGTTGGTAGACCATTGTCAGAAAGAGACCAGTTCGGTGGTCCACATGAACTCAATGCACAGAGGGATGACAACGGTGAACGTCTCCTGAGGGTGGGCGACAATCGTTATTTGTGTTTACTAGGTTTGGATTTCTGACCCTGAAGATGCTATCAACTTAATACACACAAGACCAACAGACTACATTGCCACTGGTTACTGATGGAGAGGTTCTGTAAATTACTATCAGTCCTACTGGAGTACCTGTGTACATTCTGACCACGCCATTGTGCACGACGTCCATGAGTTCGGTGGTTGAAGACTAAGCCGCAGACTGAGACCGCAAAGCATCTCAGCCGTTTTCCCGTGGGGTAGGTCAACACAATCTGGGCATTGGGCACGGGTCAGTCGAAAATTCCCATCACGAGGAACACTAGCCGTGCGCCAAGCACTCCATACATAACGTAGTTAATGTATCCTAGACAGCGTGCTGGAAGAAGACATGAATTCCAATTGCTCCCCCTCGGCTGCTAGATCTTCGATGAAATATACCTCCATATCACGATCCTAAGGAGGAACAACTTCGAAGTAAGCCTTGCTCCTCAAAAGTATACGGACTGACAGATGGAACTGATGGGAATCGCCACGACAGATTGATGTTTATTTGACCGGGATGTCCTGGTATCGGCCGGACAATCTGTAAAATCGTTTGCCTAAGATACTCAACGTCTTTCGAAGTGGGTAGAGTGCTAGCTGAAGTCACCAACTGGTTTCTTTGATTAGATCCACCAACTTACAAGAAATAGAGGAAGCAAGTTTAGCCTTAAGGATCAATAAATCACCCCGTTGAAGATGAACGCTGTGGGAATTTCAAGCTAGGAGAATCTCCTCCTTTTTAACCATCTGCCAAACTTTTGGAAGAGTTCTCAGCTGACTGAGCAACATTCCGCTTCTGATAAGCGGTTACAAAGTCCTATGGTAATTGTAAGACAGAAAGAGAACCGATCGACATAGTGACCAAAACATTCGTTTCTAGGAGTACAAGGATTTCGTATCACCCATTGACTCAAGTGAACAATTTGTGCTTCGTGAGCACCGTCTAGGGGGGGAAATAGCATTCAGTTTCGGTAAAGACCTAAACGACCTCGGGGACTATACATGTGTTGAACAAGCCAAAATGTTGAATAAATTGAATTCACACCATATTCTTGTTGGGCTGCACTACACACAGATTGCAGTGGGTTTTAGAAATGTGACAAGTCCGTTTCACGATGGGTGCTAGTAGAAATGATAAAGTCCTGATGAATAAGTTCACCGATTTTGTTATGGGGCGTCTGTGGCAGCATCAGGTTCTAAAGGCCGTTGCGAAAAATTCGTCAGATGTCACTTTATAGATAACTGTGTCCGTTTTTCCGCGGTGCATTCTGAACCCAGGCAGCTCCGGGATGGGGTTGATTTTGTCTGACCAGCGTAACAATCTCAAATCCTTGGAATGTCACAAAATCCAAACTAAAGAGCA